GAATTCAATTATTTTCAAAAAATTTAATAAAATTCTTTAGAAGAATTCAATTCTTCCAATTCAAACCAATTCAATTGGTTTCTTAAAAAATAAAAATTCTCTAACAAATTCAATTCTTTTGATGAATATATTGTTATTTATGAAAATAATTGCGTTTGGAAAAAAATTTTGATAAAATTTCTAAAAATAATTGTTTTTCTGAGAAGAATATGAAAATAATTAAATGTTTGCGTAGAATTTTTTTAAAATTTTGTTTACATAATTCAATTATTTTAAAAAATTTTATTAAAATAATAGATATTGAAAATAGTTGAATTGAGGTTAAATTTCTGAGAAAATGATTGAAATTAAGCAAAGAATTTTTTTCAAATTTTTGAAAATAATTGAATTTCGGTGAAGAATTTTATTATTTAAATAGAGAATTGAAATTTTGACTAGAATTTTTTTGAAAATCTTTGAACATAATTGAATTTTTACGTATAATTTTATTACTTTTAAAAACAAATGAATTTTTGCAATCATTTGTAAAACAATTGTTTCATTTTATCGATTTCGTGAAGAAGAATTGTTTTCGATGCTCATCGTTGATTTTTATTTTTTTAAGTTGTAAATTGGAATTCAGTTCGAAAAATCAAAGAATTGCCGCTGAGCAGGATGTGAAGATTCAAGAAAAAGGAAGAAAAAAAAACGTACTATTACGGTATTTTTTTCGGATGATGAGATTCGGAGCAAAAGAGTTTTTTTTCTCTCTTTCAACAATCAAAGAGTTACCTAGTAGTGGCATAATTCTTTTTCTGAAAAGTACATAATACACAAAACTCCTCTCGAGTATATTGTGAGAGGGCGTTTAGTGTAGTGTGAATTTCCCAAAGACTTGTGATCCGATTCGGCGCGGCACATCCTTACGGTGTTGTATAAGAACCTTCGAGAATCCATAAGCAAAAAGGAATTAAGAAGCCGTAAAATGGTTTGCAAGGGGCAATAAAATGCCATTTCGCCAGCTGCCATTTACTCTCCTCTCGGCATAAATACGATGATGATGATCTTTCTCTCCTTATACATATCTCTCTCTCTATCTTTCTCTCCTATATTCCTTTTAGAATATAGGCCTCGAGATTTTCAGACTCCTATGATGTCATAAATTAGATTTATACTTCGTTTGATGGTAATTAGCTTCTGAATTCCTCAGTGAAACGACACTTCGTTTAACTTCACTTTTTTTTGCTCAGCTCAACTCCATGATGAGGACTCTACTCGCTTATTCAGACACACAAGAGCAAAAAGGAAAAGAAAGGAAAAAACATTCCAATGCCAAATTTACATATTTCCGAGTCGAAAAATTACTATTAATGTTAATTAAACCGGCTGACTGAAGATATAGCTTCAATTAACTTCAATAATAACGAAGCGAGTTATATTTTTCAATTAGTTGCTTATAATGAAAATTAGTCTCAATTAACAATTGAATATTTTAAAAACCCTTGATTATCTTCAATTAACAATTGAAGCGATAAATCTTCAAGTGCGCGCACTTCAATCGCAAATTGAAATAGACTTCGCACTCGATGATTACTTTTAAAAACTAGCAAAAAGTATAGCTTTCAAACTAAAAAAATTATTAAAATAATAAAATATAATAAAAAAATAAAAATTTATTTTCAATAAAAAAAGAAAATAAATAGAATTTCTCTCGTTGCGCAACAAGAAATAAAAAAAAGTATAAACTTCGTCCAAAATAAGAAGTGCAATCTTGGATTTTTTTTTTGAGTTTCTCTTATTAGTACAGAGCTAATAATCGAGCGTGGAGTTGTATGTTAATTTTTGCCTTTGGGTGACCGAAATCTTTGCGCTGATGAGGACCAACATTCAAGGATGGCAACCTCTCGAACTTGGCTTCCGGGAAGAGAAACGAGGGAGCGAATTTGAATTTCCAGCATCCAATTTGCGCAGCTATTGAGTGTGTGCCTTACTCCCGACAGTGAAAGATCAGGGGGAAGAGGAGCACCCAGAACCATCGTGGCATATCTCTTTGGTTAATTATACACCCAAGAGAAAGATGGAGAGAGAGAGAGAGTGTACTCCCTTGTCCTTCGATATCGACGTTTGATCGCAATAAGTTTCGCTCACCGTGTGATTACAATCCTTGATGTCCAAGAGTCAATACACGTTAAATTTTTTCCTCAAAACTTCCTTGAAAACATTTTCTCCGAATTCTTATCCGTTGAATAAATCATCATTAACAGTATGAAAAAAATAAACTTTAACTACTTAACTATATCACATTTTTCCTAAGGATATCAAATTTTCTAGGTTTTGAACATTCGGAGTTGAACTTCCACAGGGTGCGTCTAACAAGGATTGAGAAAATAATTTCCTGACTTTTCCCTGACTTTTTACTCATTTTATTTCTGCTTTCTTGGGACAAAAAAATGGTAACTGACATATTTAACAATAAATTAATATCCAATGACAGAAACAAAAGATAATAAAAATCTTACACTGTAAAAAAAGGGAGTTAAATTTTAACTCCCCAGGGGAGTCTATAAAAGTAGCACCCATTGGAGAGTTAATGCCAGGGGAGTTAAATAAAGAGTGTTAAAATTTCACACCCAAATGCTAACTCCCCATGGAAAAAACAACTCGCGCGGGTGTTGAATGAAGGGAGTTAGAAATTAACTCTCTTTTGGAGTTGATTTTTAACTCGAAAAATTTAACTCCCAACTCCCGAGTCTGTTAACTCCCTAAATTTTTTACATTGTATAAGTTTTGTTAGATTAAAAAAATTTTTTATGCACAAAAATTTTTAGAAATCTTCCTAGACTTTCAATAAAATTCTTTGACATTCCCTGATCATTAGACACCCTGTTAATAGTCTCCACCCTTTGGTAAAAAATCTAAAATTATCGAAAATTATCAAAAATTCAAAAATCCGAATTTCTTAAAATTCAACATTTTTCCTTCTTTTTTATGGAATTTAGCTTCATTATTTTTGTGCTCTTGAAAAATACTTTACTTAGTTAATAGTCTCGACTCTTTGGTAAAAAATCAAAAATTATCGAAAATTATCAAAAATTCAAAAATCGGAATTTCTCAAAATTCAACATTTTTCCTTCTTTTTTATGTCATTTCGCTTTATGATTTTTGTGCTTTTAAAAAATACTTCACTTAGTTAATAGTCTCGACTCTTTGGTAAAAAATCAAAAATTATCGAAAATTATCAAAAATTCAAAAATCGGAATTTCTCAAAATTCAACATTTTTCCTTCTTTTTTATGTCATTTTGCTTTATGATTTTTGTGCTTTTAAAAAATACTTTACTTAGTTAATAGTCTCGACTCTTTGGTGAAAAATCAAAAATTATCGAAAATTATCAAAAATTCAAAAATCGGAATTTCTTAAAAATCAACATTTTTCCTTCTTTTTTATGGCAATCAGCTTCATTATTTTTGTGCTTTTAAAAAATACTTTACTTAGTTAATAGTCTTGACTCTTTGGTGAAAAATCAAAAATTATCGAAAATTACCAAAAATTCAAAAATCGGAATTTCTCAAAATTCAACATTTTTCCTTCTTTTTTATGGCAATTAGCTTCATTATTTTTGTGCTTTTAAAAAATACTTTACATAGTTAATAGTCTTGACTCTTTGGTAAAAAATCAAAAATTATCGAAAATTATCAAAAATTCAAAAATCGGAATTTCTTAAAATTCAACATTTTTCCTTCTTTTTTATGGAATTTAGCTTCATTATTTTTGTGCTTTTAAAAAATACTTTACTTAGTTAATAGTCTCCACTCTTTGGTGAAAAATCAAAAATTATCGAAAATTATCAAAAATTCAAAAAATCCAAATTTCTCAAAATTCAACATTTTTCCTTCTTTTTTATGTCATTTTGCTTTATGATTTTTGTGCTTTTAAAAAATACTTTACTTAGTTAATAGTCTCGACTCTTTGGTGAAAAATCAAAAATTATCGAAAATTATCAAAAATTCAAAAATCGGAATTTCTCAAAATTCAACATTTTTCCTTCTTTTTTATGTCATTTTGCTTTATGATTTTTGTGCTCTTGAAAAATACTTTACTTAGTTAATAGTCTCGACTCTTTGGTAAAAAATCAAAAATTATCGAAAATTATCAAAAATTCAAAAATCGGAATTTCTCAAAATTCAACATTTTTCCTTCTTTTTTATGTCATTTTGCTTTATGATTTTTGTGCTCTTGAAAAATACTTTACTTAGTTAATAGTCTCGACTCTTTGGTAAAAATTTAAAATTATCGGAAATTCAAAAATCTGAGTTTCTTAAAATTCAACATTTTTTCCTCTCTTTTATGGGATTTAGCTTCATTATTTTTGTGCTCTTGGAAAATATTTTACTTATTTAATAGTCTTCCCCCTTTGGTAAAAATTTAAAATTATTAAAAACTATCAAAAATTCGAAAAACCGAGTTTCTTAAAATTTAACATACATTAAAGCAAATGATAATAAAAATCTTCTCAAAACCTCGAAAACTCAAATCCCCGAATGCTCAGATCCTCGAAAACTGAAATCTCTGAATGCTCAAAACCTCGAATGGTCAATTCTTGAAAGTTTAGTCCTCGTATATTTGCGATTATAGAAGAATTGAGATTATTCGAATCTATGAATGACTTTTTACTATCCAATTAGTTGTTTTTACTGAATATAGGTAATCACGTGGTTAATTTTTCTCGTGTGGCTAGAAAATTTATCAATTTAGAATTCAATAAAATTTGAATAGTAGAAATTGTTTCTTTTCATTTTGAAAATAACCCATAATCTTCCTTAGAGGCGTATAACATATACACGATCGTTTTTGTCTTTAAGAAATCTAATTTCTGTGTCATTTTGCGTAAAAGGATAATAGTTAGTGTCCGAGGAGGGATTATTTTTCTTTTTTTCTTGCGATGGGCAAGATTTCAATTACAGCTGGCTAGTAAATATTCATAAGGATTGTGCACTTTACATGTTTTAGATTCTTTTTCTTTAGTTTCTTCCTTTTTTATTTATACCGTATGGATGTGTATATAGCTCTACGCAAACACACATATTTACGTACCTATACGTATATGTACAGTAGAACGTACGAATGCCTTCCCCCTGAAGTTGCTGATAGAAATTGCATAAGTACGGTGCAACTTGAAGTTCTATAGTCTATGCTTAAGCAACTGTCATAATAATGAATGTCATCATTGGTCATCAGTACGCAATGTTTATTTTGATTAAATTTTACCACTCTTCACTTTTATATTGCAAATAATTATTTACAATTAATTCCGAGTGTGAATTAATTATAAAGTGTTGCGAAAAAAGTGCTTTAAATATCGCAAGGAAGAATTACGCAGTTAATTACAGGTAAATATAATTTCTGAGTATAATATATGGGTTACACTTTTCCCTTTTTAAAAATAGAAAATGTTTTTAAATTTATACCACAATTATAATAAATTTTTATTATAATTGTAAAAAAATAGTTAATAATATAATTATTATTTAATTAATAACTAAAATTAAATTAAAATTACTTATTTGTCTGTTGGGTTGCTGCAAGTGATTGATAAAATGAGATTCAGGTTAACAATAATAATGACATTTAAAATACACGTGGGATTTTTAAAATTATTTTAATTTACTAATGAGAAGAAATTTAACAACTCTCAACTATTATTCAAAGGTTTATAATATAATAAACAATTTCATGTAAGAATTAAGTTTTGACATTTCGGAGAGTAGAGAAATATTTGAATCCCTAAAAAGAATTTTATTATTTACAAAAATTATTGAATAGGAATAGAAACATAGAAGCTGCACTGTAACGGGAGCGTCAAAACCATGAAATATGGACTATATGGTACGACTTGGAATGTGAATCGAGAAAACATCTTTCCCGGAATTGACGGATTTAATAACAGCCGTGGAGAAGACAGGTGTCGGTGCTATGGAAATTGTCGCTATGGATATAAAATTGTGAAAAATTGCTCGTTGACTTAGTTTTCATGCAGTTGGATTTGAAATTAGATGATTTCATCAAAGTTTACAACCATTTCATCAAATTGTTGAGTATTTTTTTATATTTTAAAATTTATGTTTGTCCAAAAGTAGTCTTTTTGTATTTTATTTGTCTTTATTTTATTTAAATATTCGTTTTTTATTTTTATTTAAATAATTGAAAATTTTTCTGCTTTAGTGTTATGCAAAGCTGCCAAAAAAAATGCGTTGTCATTGGTCTTCAATTAGCGGGTGAAGAACATAATACACTGAAACAATTGGAATGAGATCACGGCGAAACGATTATTTGAGAAGAATTTTTTCCTTGAAATCGCATATAACATTTAAAAATGCCACAAACAACAACTGTTAATCGTTATGTTGCCTACAGCGATAATGACGATAAAATGTCAATTTCCAATTGTCCTCAAACACAAACTCGAAAGAAGAGAAGAGATGGTGGTGACAATGCAAATCTGATATCACAACGTCAAATATCTCAAGAAAGAAGAAAATCAGAAAAAATTCAATTATAGACTAATTAAATAATTAAATATGATTATTTATTGTTTTCAAAACTTTAATAAAATATTTTCAGTACAATTTTAATTGAATTCCACGAAAAGTATAATTATTTTGAAGAAGTTTAAGAAAATTCTTTTCAGAAAATCAATTACTTGGAAAAATTTAAATAAGATTCTTTGCAAAATTTTAATTATTATGAACATTTTTGATTACATTTTTTATGACAATTTAAATATTTTTAATATAATTTTAATATAAAAAAAACTTGGAAAAATACAGTTATTTTTGAAAATTTTAATTAATTTTTAGTAAAGTTTCAATTATTATCATAATCTACTCAATTAATAATTAGTTTTTAGAAATTTATATAAATTCTTTTATAAGAATTCAATTATTTCAAATTCAAAATAATAAACGAAAAAATCTCCTTTTTTGCATAGAAAAAGATAATAATTAAGAATAAAATTTTTTAAAAATATTTGTTCAGGTTTAACAGTGTCAGAAATGCAAAAAAATAAACTACTGAAAGCTAGAGTTGTTTATGCTAGCGCAAAGGGAGCATCAAAATCACGAAGTATGGCCTGTGAGGTACGACTTGGAATGTGGTTGGAGTTTCACAGATTTTATAATAATCGTATATGAACGGATATGGACTTACGAAAAATTATTGTTCGTTAACTTAGTTTTCATGAAGTCGGATTTGAAATTTAGGAAATTAGCTATCACATGATTGTTCCGTCAGATTGGTGAATTTTCTTTCTATCTTAAAATTTATGTTCATCTAAAAATAGTCTTATTATACTTTATGTGTCTCTAAGATCTACCAGGATTCAGGGAAATATTGAATTATATTTTTGTGAATCGATTAAAACAAGTTTCTTTTAATCATCACATTTTTTAATTTTTCGATAGCTAGTTTTAGGATAAGATTGAAAAATTGAAATAGAACCAGTTTTAAGATCAGATTGAGAACTCGAAATAGGACCAGTTTTAGGATCAGATTGAAGACTTTTATTGAGGATTTTTAATAGGATCAGATTCAGGACTTGAAATAGGACCAGTTTTTGGATCAGATTGAGGACTCGAAATAGGACCAGATTTAGAACTTGAAATAGGACCACTTTTAGGAGCAGATTGAGGACTTATAATAGGACCAGTTTTAGGATCAGATTGAGGACTCTAAATAGGACCATTTTTTGGATTAGATTGGGGACAATTAATTGTTATTGTTTTTATAAACTGTACTTAAGGTTATAAATTTTAATTTTTTTATGTGTTGTGCAATTTTTTGTAATTGAGAATGTCGAGAATGAAAATAAACTAAAAATAATGAATTTAAACATCTTTTAAACAATTCGTTTTGTTAATTTTTCAATTTACTGTACTAAAAACTTGAAATTTATAGTTTTTTCTTAATTGTGTAATTTTTTATAAGTTAAACACTGTATTGTAATCGAAAAACTAAAACTTTTTTTTAATCATTGTTTGAACATTTTATTTTGTTAATTTATTCCAGGTATGTGTATTTAATTTATATTTATTTTTCAATAAATGGTTTTTAATTTTTAATCAGCAGTATATGTATGTTTTAGTCATGAAAAAATTCACAATTGTTAAAGAAATTGACATTTCTAACCCTTAGTGGTTACATGAAAAAATAGCAACAATTAATTATTTAAACAATTTTAAAAAATTAATTTTTCATATTAGTAGTTGTTTTACTCCTAAATTAAAATTGCACAATTGTGAAAAAAGTTATCTCTAAGTTAAAAGTTTATCAAGAAAATATACTTTTCCTGGCGCTTGCCATAGTTTGATAATAAAAAAAATAATCGATAAAGAAGCTAGAGAATTACAAAAATTAATTCCAGCCTTTTCCCATACTGTTCCTGACGAGTGCGATAGTTTGGAAATTAAAATATTGTTCATAAAAAGGCTAGAGAATCACAGCTATATATCAATTCCAGCCTTCTCCTATACTTTTGCAGACGAGTCCCTTGGTATAAAAAATCAAAGAATTTAATTTATTTTTATTTATTTGTAAATCAATTAAAATCATCATTTAACAAAATTTTTAATTTTTTTGCGCTTCTTATCTCTATAACATTCTTAAAAAATGAAAACGTTTCCAAAAATTCTTGGTCGTCCAGTGATTTCATGTTTTTTCTCGAAATTATACAGTATTTATTCCGGATTTTTTTATACAGTTCTTGAACTTTTCCGCCTGTAAGGTAAATATTAATTCGTATTAATGATAATAATAATAATGTTAATAAATTACCTATAAAGAATAATAAATCTTTTTCTAACCTTTTAACCAAACATAACTGCGTTCGGTATTTTTTATGTAGTTTGCAATTTCTTCGAATGCAGTTGTAATCATTCGATTACGGTTGCTAAACTTCGGAATCTCAAATTTTTTATCATATATTATCTTTTGCTTTTTCATTTCTTCGCCAAGAAGCTTTAATAACTTTTTGTCCTCCATTTTACAATTTTTGACAGTTTTTTAACAATCTTAGGTTAAATTATATTAATGCAGCTTGAAGTTCATAACAAAATTTTAAGACAAAAGAGCAACAAAAGTTAGGCGCCAATTTTATGTCTTTTACAGGGAGCAAGAAAAAAATTTTAATTTATTAGTTATATTTATTTCGCCTCTAGGCGAAGAAATGAAAAAGCAAAAGATAATATATGATAAAAACTTTGAGATTCCACAGCTTAGCAACCATAATCGAATGATTACAACTGCATTCGAAGAAATTGCAAACTACATAAAAAATACCAAACGCAGTTATGTTTGGTTAAAAGGTTAGAAAGATATAGGGGAGAGTCGGCAGTGGCGGGACACGCTTTATTTTTTTAGTATATCACCCATATTTTCATGAATATTTAATCCGCATCTACGAAGGCAGAAAAGTCAAGCTGCGTGGAAATGAAAATACGGGCAAAGTCCAGCAAAGTCCATCAAAGTACAGAATAGTATGGGCAAAGCACAGTAAAGTACGGCTAATGAGCGTTTCCGATACTTTGAAATGTGCATGGTTAACAAAGATATTTAAAGTACGGGGACAGTTCCGCAAAGTACGGGATCAAGAAAATAGGTATGGGACGGTAAATATAGTTTTTTTTTAAATAATAAATATGAAAATTGAAATTCAGAATTTTTGGAGTACGGTAAAGTACGGGAAAGTACAGCAAAGTATGGGAGAGTAAAAAAATAGTTTTTTTTTTGAAATATTAAATATGAAAATCGAAATTCGGAATTTTTGAAGTTCGGCAAAGAACGGAAAAGTGCAGAAAACTATGGGCTAGCAAATAAATGGTTTTTCGTAAAATATAACCTCATAAAATTCAATTTTGGAATTTTCGATTTTCGTAAAGAATATGTCAAAATGTGTAAGAGTCCCTTTTACTCCAAAAAATCATAATTTTATTTTCTAATTTAATATTTCAAAAAAAACTCATTTTCAAATCTCCCATACTTTGCTGCATTTTCCCGTACTTTTCCGAACTCCAAAAATTCTGCATTTCGATTTTCAAACTTAATATTTAAAAAAAATGATTTTTAAATTTCCTATACTTTACTGTACTTCCCCGTAATTTGACGAACCCCAAAAATTCCGAATTTCGATTTTCATATTTAATATTTCAAAAAAAACTATTATTTTCCTCTCCCATACTCTGCTGTACTTTCCCGTACTTTGCCGAACTCCGAAAATTCCGAATTTCGATTATCATGTTTAATATTTCAGAAAAAACTACTTTTTTTACTCTCCATACTTTGCTGTACCTTCCCGTACTTAGCCGAACTTCAAAAATTCCGAATTTCGATTTTCATATTTAATATTTCAAAAAAAACTATTTTTTTACTCTCCCATACTTTGCTGTTCTTTCCCGTACTTTGCCAAACTCCAAAAATTCCGAATTTCGATTTTCATATTTAATATGTCAAAAAAAGCTAATTTTTAAATTTCCTATACTTTGCTGTACTTTCCCGTACTTTGCCGAACTCCAAAAATTCCGAATTTCGATTTTCGTATTCAATATTTCAGAAAAAACTATTTTTTTACTCTTCCATACTTTGCTGTACTTTCCCGTACCTACTTTGCCGAACTCCAAAAATTCCGAATTTCGATTTTCATATTTACTACTTCAAAAAAAACTATTTTTTACTCTCCCATACTTTGCTGTTCTTTCCCGTACTTTGCCAAACTCCAAAAATTCCAAATTTCGATTTTCATATTTAATATGTCAAAAAAGCTAATTTTTAAATTTCCCATACTTTGCTGTACTTTCCTGTACTTTGCCGAACTCCAAAAATTCCGAATTTCGATTTTCATATTTAATATGTCAAAAAAAGCTAATTGTGGACGTCCACATGAAAAGGGCCCATTTTAGTACTATTGGAGTTATCTATATGGGCGTATTCTTGGCAAAATTTGGAAAATTTTGAGTGGTCTTAGAACTTTTTTGGTTGAAAATTCGCTGAGTTACGGAATTTCAAAGATTATAACGCCAAAAACTTCATTTCGAGAAAAACCGAATTAAAGATTGCGATACCAACTAATTGTTGTATCTCTGGTTCTTATTGGAAGTTATTCAGATAAGAATTGTTTCCAGTTCAGGGCACCTTGAAGATAAAAATCCAGCAGGTTTTTAATTTTTAAAACCACCCCCTCCCTTTAATTAAGTAATTAATTTAAAAACCGGCAATATGGGCCCTTTTCTAAAAAGGACAGTTTTTCTATTAAAAAAAACATTTTTATCCCACATGCACAAAAATGGCGCTTTTAGATAGCTGACGACAGGGAGTAAAGTCACTCATTTGTTCGACCATATGAAAATGGCGTCCATTTTCTCCCAAGAGGCAAACATAACAGCTGATCCCATGCGTTATTTTTGCCCTTGGGAGAAAACGGCCGCCACTTTCATATAAGTCGAACAAGTGAATGACTTTTACTCCCTGCCGTCTGCTATCTGAAATCGACACTTTTGTGCATTAGGAATAAAAAATATCGTAAGTAACACGGGAATAAAGGCAGCCAATTTGTTTACAATGATTTTTGTGACACTCG